TATTCTGCTGTTCGAGAGCATTGGAGGCAAAAACTTCTAAGTACTCTTATGGAAGTTCTATGGTCCTTTATGTATTGGAAACGAGTTCGAATTAAACGATCAGTTGTATGAGTTATACCACGATAACAACATAGTTAAGCACAAATTTAGCGGCTTCGCAAGGTTCGCCAAGCCGTAAGAATGAAATAAAGTGCTTTGACTAGAAAAGTGTTTGATTGTTATCGGAAAACGTGGTGGTAGACGTCTAGGTGAAATACGATATTAAAACACTCGGTACTACTAACTGATGATAGCAAGCCATTGAATAGATTGAGTGGCGAAGACTACAGGACGTGGCCAAGGACAACTCACATCTGTAATGACTAACTAAGTAAGTAAGTAAGAATATACAATCATGCAAAAATGAAGTCAAGTAGAGGCTAAAAAATGAGGGTATCAATAAAACGATTCTATGTGAATCTGATAGTAAGATTATAGATATATAGTTAGACTATATGTGATAGTATTTAAATTTGTAAGCAATACTACATATCAAACCAGTAAATGGCTTTTTAGAATGGATCAAGTGAATTGCGAAAACAATTTAAAACTAATATAATGCTTTAATATAAAAATTATTAATAATTAAGTAAAGTGATGTTAAATAAACATAAGATTTTGTGGAATATTCACTATTTTTTATAATTCTTCTACTTATATTTAAATATGAATTTTATTTAATTTTCGAAAAGTGCCGCTGTTCAAGTAGCAAGAAAATTAATATGTTCTGTTTATAATAATTTGTCGGATATGGTAACGTGATATTAAATAAACATAAGATTTAATAAAATATGTATTAAATATTTATGGTAATTCATATACTATATTTATATTTCAATATAAATATTATTTAACTTTCGAAAAGTTTCAACTGCTGAAGTATTTGGAAAACTAACTTGTTCTGTTCTTTCTGAACGATTTTAATTTGCTATTTATACCACTAAGCCAAAGAGGAAAAAATATAAAAAGATACTCAGCAGACTATGATTTATTTACTCACGGCGTGCGCGTATTTATCAAACTCTAATTAATCGGTGATAAACCGATCAAGACACTAAATGCTGCACAACACGAAGCCTACTATGAAATAGTAGAAGATTCGGACTCGGAATCTAAAAGCTAAGTGAGTCAGTCCAGAAGGCAGCACGCAGTCAGGGAGGCAATATAAGTCTGTCCGTATGATCTTACGTTAAATTTTGTGTTTAAACAAGTTTAGTCTGGCACTTTTTCTTTTGGAATTTTTTCTTACTGGTTTACTTTTTGGCCATTTGCCATGTGAATTTGTTACTGCCGTTGTTATTACTGTAGTTGTTATTCTCTTAATATTTTTCAGATGCGATCAATTCGCTCGTGTCCGCCAAATAATAGTCTTCAGCTGGCATTTTAAAGAGTGGTTTTGTGTCTACAAGAAAAATCTTAAGTTTCCGCATGAAATTTACTATAAATACTACAATTGTTTGTCTTGTAACATGTCCAAAGATACAGGGTATTATTTAGTTGAAAATTACAATTCCATAAAGTGTAATATACCCATTATCATTCATAATGAAGTTTCAAATTTAATTCAACATATGTTCTATATTAAAAATAAGAACTATTCACTATTATTTACTATAAAAGATCCTAAAGAGTAATGCTTTTTATTGTATAGCAGGAATAAGCAGAATAAGCATTGTCAATGCCGTTGTACCCTGTATAAGCGTATATATATTTTTTGTGTTGTAAGTCGTTAAAGTGATCTTACATGCATATATACACGTTTACTCTCTAATCCAAGTTTGCAAATCAATTTATTAGCCACGTATGACTTATGCCTTTTTAAATGTGAGCTTGTATATTTCGTATCAGAGACTGATTTTTTTTTCGGTTTGTTTTTTAAGCTAAAAGCTTATTAAGTGAGATCATTGCAAATTTATGTTTACATGCGTTCTAAGCGCCCTCTGGTGTGTAATTTTGTGTTTTTTAAGCATCACGATCAATTTTAAATGGATGAGAGTTTGGTTACTCGTATGAATCTAATATTATAGGATACATGCGAAGCGATTGAGTGTAAGCCATGATTATCGATGTTTAAATGATATGCGAAGTTACCATATGTAACCATAGGTAACCATCTAGCTGGTCTATATGTTTACACGAGCGTGTGAAAATAAATTTCGCGTTGGAATTTATACTTTACATTGTTGTGTAAATACTAAATAAATAAAAATGAATGTTTCTTAATTTGTTTGCTAGCTT